TATTCCCTTAGAAACCGCATAAACGTGTTCAGGGTCTGTCTACCTCCCCGGACGAAACTTTGCCCTTCGGCAAATCCTTGTACGGGTTGACCTCTGCTCAAGACAGATAATCCGACAGTAATCTAGTCGACTGTTATATCTAATAGCATCCCTCATGGGGGGATGTATGTGGCACAAGGCCGAGTTTACAGTGTTTTCTCTGAGCCCGTAGGCTCGGCCAAAATATTCCCTTAGAACCCACATAAAGGAGTTCAGGGATTGTCTACGTCCCCGGATGAAAAGAGAGATAGATGCTTTTAAATGCAATGTCAATCCCTATCTACTGTCCTCCTAATTATCCTTTCCTCTTCCTGCTCATTATTAATGTTTCTGTTCCTAATTCTTCCACATCCTGTAACCCCTTGTGTCTTAGTGGCTTTATTGCCTTATATGGGCTGATACTGATTAAAAAGAAGAAAGATAGATAGATGCTTTTAAATGCAATCTCAATCTCTATCTACTGTCCTCCTAATTATCCTTTCCTCTTCCTGCTCATTATTAATGTTTCTGTTCCTAATTCTTTTGCATCCGTTGTGTCTTAGTGGCTTTACTGCCTTACATGGGGATGATACCGATTAAGAAAAAAGATAGATGTTTTTATGGTTGAGCTAGCTAAATATAGCCGTAAGTTTTATGCTAATTGTTTATTTTCTCGCACTTGTCGCTTGTGGAACTACATTCCGGCTGCATGCTTCCAGCAAACTTCAAGCTGTAAAGATTTAAATGCAATGTTAATCGTTATCTTCTGTCTTATTAATTCTTGTTCTTTTATTGTGCTCACTACTTAATAATAGATTTTTTTTTTCATATTCTTTAACACATCGTCTTAGTGGTTTTATTACCTTGGTTGGTGTGAAATGGTTAAAAATACTCTTGATTTCTATTTTGGGAAGGTTTATAAAGGAAACTACTTGTTAGAACAGTTAGTTGATTTTTCGTTCAAAATCATTCAAATCCCAACTAGGATACAGTTCTGGTTCATTTAATTATTCATTTATAATTCAATCTGGTTCATTTAATTATTCATTTATAATTCAATCTGGTTCATTAAATTATTCATTTATGATTCAATCTGGATCATTAAATTATTCATTTATGATTCAGTCAGGTTCATTTACTTATTCATTTATGATTCAATCTGGTTCATTTAAATATCCATTTAGGGTCCAGTCTGGTTCATTTAATTATTTATTTATGATCCAGTCTGGTTCATTTAATTATTCATTTATGATTCAATCTGGTTCATTTACTTATTCATTTATGATTCAATCTGGTTCATTTAAATATCCATTTAGGGTCCAGTCTGGTTCATTTAATTATTTATTTATGATCCAGTCTGGTTCATTTAATTATTCATTTATGATTCAATCTGGTTCATTTAATTATTCATTTATGATTCAATCTGGTTCATTAAATTATTCATTTATGATTCAATCTGGTTCATTAAATAATTCATTTATGATTCAGTCTGGTTCATTTACTTATTCATTTATGATTCAATCTGGTTCATTTAATTATTCATTTATGATTCAGTCTGGTTCATTTAATTATTGATTTATGATCCAGTCTGGTTCATTTAATTATTCATTTATGATTCAGTCTGATTCATTTAATTATTCATTTATAACCCAGTCTGGTTCATATAATAATTCATTTGTGATTCAGTCTGATTCATTTAATTATTTATTTATGAGTCAGTGTGGTTCATTTAATTATTCATATATGATTCAATCTGGTTCCTTTCATCAGGAAGGTGACCTTGATGTTATCGATCTGGAGGAGGCGATACCAGCTTTTCTGAAAACCATACCACGGTTTGACCCAAGTCACGTGAGTGAAATTGGGTAGACGGATGCCGTTTGTCCTAGCATGAAGTCGCAAGTCATCGTGAGCGAGGGTCTGAGCGTGCTGGCCTTGTTCGGACAGTTGATCACGCTAGACAGCACGCTCTCTCCCAGAAACTCTAACTAAGGTCCGCTCAGCGCAGTAAAGGTATAAACGACGGTGGGTGTTGATCAGACACAAATGTACCTGCAATAATCGACTTGGATACGAGTGGCTGCGCCATGTAGATTTTCTGGGAGGAATATGTGGGAGGAATTTCTGCCGCACCATCTATATTTGCGTCTGAAGTATAGGAACGTTTTATTTTGGGGTGGCCAAGCTAAGATTTGAATCTAGTCATTAAGATGTTCAGTAAGGAACTTCTTTTCTTTTTTTTTTTTTTTTGTATTATTTTGTTCAAAGGTTCCTGTCTGTTTAAGCCAGCTTTGAACTTGATATTTAATAAGTTTACTTTAATCGGCCAAGACGAGGGGTAGAGCAGGTGTTGCTATTTGAGGACGCTACAAACCAGCAATGGTCGAATTCAGAATTTTTTAAACGATTGTATTTTATTTCGTTAGAAAATTCTCTGAAACAAATATCGAAAAAAAAAAGAATAGCAAGTTAAGAGATTTTACAAACTTTTTTTTTAATTAAAAAATAATCATAAAATTTCTCTGTATATTAAAGATCATTTTGTTAAGTAATACATGCACATTTACAAATCTACAAGCTTACATTAGTTTGGCCTTAGTACCTCAAATACTGGGTACCCAGTTATGATTGAAAATACGATACAATCGTAATCATCTACAAGACAAATTAATTGTTAATTATCAAATGATGAAGCATATATATATATATATATATATATATATATATATATATAAGTGAACATAGAAGTCAACACATAGAGGAGACAGTCTGTTTCATGCTAGATGCAATAATCGGGCCTGACGATTGCGTCTAGCATGAAACAGACTATTCCCTCTAAGTGTTGACTTCTATGTTCACTTTATATTTACACACGCTCTATCTCTGAGCACTATATCCCATAAATATTGCACATCTTAAAACTATATTTCTTATATATATATATATATATATATATATATATATATATATATATATATATATATATATAGAAAAGAGGTTATAGTAGTTCCAACGAGAGAAAATTCTGTATATTAAAAAGAAGAGAGAAACTGCAAACGTTTTTGGTTGTAATGTGGATTTAAAAAAAATATATATATTATGCTTTATTTTCCATAATTTTGCTAGACGCGTTTCCGGTCTTGCGACCGTCATCAGGCCAAGGGTTGAGATTTCCACATATTATTAAAAATAATTAATTTTTTTCCTTCGATGTTAAGAGACATTCTCGTTTTTCGTCTTAGTGATTCAAACGTCTTTCTTTGTTCTATTTTTCTCAATCGATCTATCTATCTATTTTTCTCATATCTATCTGTCTGTCTATCTATTTATCAATTTTTCACAAACTTTTCATATCTATCTATCTATATATATATGCAATTATTTATTCGAAAATTATATATATATATATATATATATATATATATATATATATATATATATATAATTATTTATTCGAAAATTATAACATAAACATGTTATAAAATCACTACAAAAATAGCCATTTTGTTTCAATACTTCTGGTGTCTTATTAAGGGATGGTGTTGAATGTAGAATAAAGGGTTTTACACACACACACACACACACACACACACATATATATATATAAACATATACGCATACACATACGCTCGTACAAGCAAACACATACCTATGTTTAAACACCAATCCGCGCACAAAAGCACAAACAAGCACACATATAACAGGTATCAAACCAAACACACACACATATATATACATATATATATCTACGCATATAACTACAGATATATAAGTACAGATATATTCCTATATACACATACACACATTCAACTATATATATATATATATATATATATATATATATATATATTCCCCATATACATACACATAAACATATACATACATGCAGAAGTACACGCAAATATAAATATATACATACACACAAACATATATATATATATAAATTTCCCCTTATCTCCTTTTTTCTCCTTTCCTTCTTTCTTTTTATAATGAAAAAAACCTATATATATATATATATATATATATATATATATATATATATATATATATATTTATCACTAAAAACACACACACACAACACACGTGCAGACACAAACAACACAATACAACTACACCAACACATACCCACATCGACATCAGGTAATAAAAGTAATAACCTACTAAACTTACAGTAACATATCTTTATTGTTGAAAGTATTACAACCCCTATAGTAAGTTAAATTCATGGCTGTGTTTACATTTAACAGTTAGTTCATTTCTTTGATTTAAGACATGGTTCTTATTTTTAATTATAATTATTTCAAACTTTTCGTATAGACATAGATAACAAGGGGTATCAGATTAATTTCCATTTAACAGTAGGTGTTTTATTCTTTTCGTTTAGAATCCAAAAGTACTTGGATAATGAAGACTTATACTTACAATTACTACTATTGAAAGATTGCATATGTCCCCGCTAACGTTCCTTGAGTGAATTCATAGTGCTACCAATATAATTTTTTTTAATATTTGGGTTTTCTAGTGTAGAGATTGTACTAAGATAAACTAGAGAACAAGTCAAACAATTATTCTGTAATGGACAATTATTTGGATTCCTACAATTGTACAAGTTGTTATTCGTGTTATTATACTTAGTTGTACTACTTGCAAACTGGTGAGTAGTCAAGTTTTTTAGTCCCTATACTTGTTAAAGACTCTTTTGTTATGTTTCTTAATTATTTTCTCCAGGTTATCCGCACAATTATAGCTTAATTTAAAGGTATTATGATTGAATATTTTACTAAGTGGGTTAGTTTCGGGGTCAGGGAAATATTTCTTGATGAGATTTAAGAATTTACTTCCTAGTTTAGTTTTAACCATTATATTTAAAGGGGGAGTAAACCAAATGATCTTCGTAGATCTTCTTTTTTTATGATGGTCATAATTAACAGGGTGTCTATATTGATTACTGGTACTCTTGTAGCCACTATTTCTAAGGGCAGAATTGTAAAAATCTATTTTTCCTCCAATCTATCTATCTATCTATCTATCTATCTATCTATCTATCTATCTATCAAAGACTTTTCATCAAAATTTTCAAATCTATCTTCATTTTTCCTCAAATCTATCAATCGATCTATCTATGCATATATGGAATTATGCATCTATCAATCTATCTGTCAACATTGCGTCTGTTTTTCTCAGCCTTTTCATATCTATCTACCTATCTATCTACAGCCTGTCCATATCTATATATCTATCAATCAATCTATCTATCTATCTCAAATCTATGTCATTATCAATCTACCTATCTATCTGTCTATCTAATAATGGTCATATCTATCTATCTATCTATCTATCTATCTATCTATCTATCTATCTATCTAATTATAGTTGTATCTAACTATTTACCTATCTAAATATGGTCATAATTATCTATCTATCTATCTATCTATCTCAGTCTCTGTTCATATCTATCTATCTATCTCAAATCTATGTCATTATGTATCTACCTTTCTATCTGTCTATCTAATAATGGTCATATCTATCTATTTATCTAATTATGTTATATCTATCTATCTATCTATCTAATTATAGTCGTATCTAACTATTTACCTATCTAATTATGGTCATTTCTATCTATCTATCTATCTCTCTATCTATCTCAGTCTCTGTTCATATCTATCTATCTATCTATCTATCTATCTATCTAATTATGGCCATTTCTTTCTATCTATCTATCTCAAATCTATGTCATTATCTATCTACCTATCTATCTGTCTATCTAGTAATGGTCATATCTATCTATCTATCTAATTATGTTTATCTATCTATCTATCTATCTATCTATCTAATTATAGTCATATCTAATTATCTATCTAATTATGGTTATATCTATCTATCTATCTATCTATCTATCTATCTATCTATCTATCTATTTCAGTCTCTGTTCATATCTATCTATCTATCAATCTATCTATCTAATTATGGCCATTTCTATCTATCTATCTATCTATCTATCTATCTATCTCTTTATTGTCATATCTATCTATCTAGCTATGGTCATATCTATCTATCTATCTATCTATCTATCTATCTATCTATCTATCTATGTGAAAGTCTACTATTATTCATGTGGGAAAGACAGTGGCATAACCAATAAGATAGACTTTGATATTCATTCAAAAGAACTGATTTATATTTCTGTTTACACACGTAAAAAGAATCCACGCTGCAAAAAAAGGAATCTCTTGCCAGCGAATCTCGTAAAATAGCGCAAACCTCGAGGGTGCTTTTGTGTAAACTTCCCCATAAAAAACGATTCTTTTCGGCTTTACTCTGATTAGCACAAACTCACTCACGCACAGACACATATATATGTCAGTAGGTACATATCAATACGGATGGCAAATGAGTACTGTATATATATATATATAAATATATATATATTGGACTGAGTGTGTGTGAATTTGATTGTAGTTGCAGTATTGGTGAGAACATAAAAATAGTTATATAAAATTAAAAGATGAATTACTGGGCCCGCAATGTTTTTTAAAATGACACGTGCATATATATGTGTGTGTGTATGTGTGTGTGCGTGATTTCTATTTTAGCTATATATCTACCCGGCTTACGTATTTCATATCTATCTATCTATCTATCTATCTATCTATCTATCTATCTCAGTCTCTATCTGAATATATGTATCGATCTTCGTGTCTTAATATGCATCTATATATCTATCAATCTCTTTTCATATCTATCTATATATGTATCAATTAATATCAATCTCTTAATATATATCTAACTCAACCAGTTCGTTATCTATCTATCTATCTATCTATAGATCTACGTATCTATAGATCGATCTATCGATCTAACTATCTATCTCAGTCCACTCTTTATCTATTTATCGCACATAATTCATATCAATATGTGTGTACGTGTATGTAAGGTGGGGGAGTGGGAGCGTGTCTATCTATCTATCTATCTATCTTTCTCAGTCTGTTCGGATCTATCTATCTATCTATCTGTCTATCTATCTCAGTCTGTTCGGATCTATCTATCTATCTATCTATCTATCTATCTATCTATCTATCTATCTATCTATCTATCTATCTATCACAGTCTGTTCTTTATCTGTCGCACATAATTCATACCAATATGTGTGTACGTGTATGTGGGGGGAGGGTTAGAGCGTGTCTATCTATCTATCTCAGTCTATTCATATCTATCTATCTATCTCAGTCTGTTAATATCTATCTATCTATCTATCTATCTATCTATCTATCTATCTATCTATCTCAGTCTGTTCTTTATCTATCTATCCAACATAATTCATACCAACATGTGTGTACGTGTATGTGGGAGGGAGTGGGACAGCGTGTCTATCTATCTATCTCAGCATGTATGTATGTATGTATCTATCTATCTATCTATCTCTGTTAATATCTATCTATCTATCTATCTCAGTTCTGTTCTTTACCTATCTATCGCATATAATTCATATCAATATGTGTGTACGTGTGGGGAAAGTAACACCGTGTCTATTTACAGTACCAGTAAAGTGTGCGCAGTTTTGTATGTATCTGTCCTGTTAAAAAAAAAAGAAAAAAAAAACTTTCAAGACAATCGATGTCTTTTTTTCCTGTCTCGAAACGAAGTTAAATTGGGATTTTGTGACATTTTACGACTTGAAACACGACAGGCGGAAGTGGCGGAGAATGGTGTCATGCACTTCAAGAATTGAACAATATGGACGTTACGAGGTGAGCACGCGTCTATTTCTGACTTGGCCGATTGATAATGCACTTTTTATCACAACCGACCGTATATCTATCTATCTATCTATCTATCTATCTATCTATCTATCTATCTCAGTCTGTTCTTATCTATCTATCTATCTATCTATCTATCTATCTATCTCGGTCTGTTCGTATCTGTCTATCTATCTCGGTCTGTTCCTATCTATCTATCTATCTATCTATCTATCTATCTATCTATCTATCTATCTATCTATCTCAGGCTGTTCATATCTACTGTTCTGCGTAAGACGATAAACTGCGTCCAGCAGCAAATCCTCTGATTAGGAGGTTTTGAGCAGCGTGGATCCACCTCAATTGCTGGTGTTCCCAGGTTCACCTCGATACGGGGTGGTAGCACCTGTTAGGGTCCCAGCTATGGGCAAATAGTTAACGTCCGAACTTGTGTAAAAATAGCTTTTAATACCAGAATTACTTTGTAATAAAAAAAATTACCAGCAATAATTTTTGAAGAAAAAATTGTTATCAGCAATACTTAAAAAAAATACAATACAAACAGAATATAAAATAGTGAGAAAGAAATTTTTACCAAGTGAATAATTAAAAAAAAATAACTTTTTACGAAAATAAAACCATCCAAGATTGTAAATTTCCTAAAAGAATTTGGATTGTAGTAAAAATTATGAGTAATTGAAAAATGGTTTAAATATATATGTATACACACACTCCTTTTTACCAAACTATCGCTATTAATCTATTTAAAAAAATTGTTAGCATTAAACGACTCACTGTGGTTTCTGACTTGGCCGATTGATAATGCACATTTTATCACAACCGACCGTATATCTATCTATCTATCTATCTATCTATCTATCTATCTATCTATCTCATTCTGTTCATATCTATCTATTTATCTAATTTCGTCCTTTCCTATCTATCTATCTATCTATCTATCTATCTATCTATCTATCTATTTCAGTCTCTTCAGATCTATCTATCTATCTAGCTAGCTAGCTAGCTAGCTAGCTAATAAGATAACATCTATCAATGTCATAAGAATATATGATTTTGATATCAGTTTATTGTTTTTCTTCGGTTTACAGATGGCAAAGACACTATCGAAATTTCTGTTCGCAATTCATATGCATTCACTCGGTTAAAAGAACTGGACAATTGATTCCTGTCTCTGACTGACACATATGTCGTCAATTCGCACTTCAAGGCATGTATATGTGAATCAACCAGGTACATAATCAATCAGGTACACTAGCATCCAGGTACATGTAGGTACCGACCGGATAATTTTGTCCCTCAACAGTTCCGCATTTGGCAAGGCGTTGGAGTTTAGCGTCTGGATGTCTATGAGATTGATTAGGAGGGACATTGATTTTTCCATTGAAATTACTCGATGGGCAAATCGAAAAGACGACTGTTCGTTACTCGAATTGGCTCCACTGGAACGAAAGACGGGTGGCGGGATAAATAGAAACGTCTGGACAAGAAGAATGAACACGGGTAAGTGTAGAGAGAAGAGAGAGATCTTGAAGGCGGACGAGATTTTACAAGTACGCAAGCTGACAAATGTAGGGTACATGAAAGATAGCAATCGTTTCCGTAACCATTCAGTTTGAAAAGAAAATTATGCACATTGAAAGAGATAACTGTCAAGTGATAGATAGATAGATAGATAGATAGATAGATAGATAGATAGATAGATAGATAATGAATGGGCAGTGATAGACATATATGAATGAACAGAGATAGATAGATAGATAGAGATAGATAGATAAATAGATAGATAGATAGATAGATAGATAGATAGATAGATAGATATAATGAATGGGCAGTGATAGACATATATGAATGAACCGAGATAGATAGATAGAATATAGATAGATAGATAGATAGATAGATAGATAGATAGATTTCAACAGACTTAGAAGATAGATAGACAAGGAACAGACTGAGGTAGATAGATAGATAGATGTGAACAAAGACATAGATAGATAGATAGATAGATAGATAGATAGATAGATAGATAGATAGATAGATTTGAACAGACTTAGAAGATAGACAAGAAACAGATCGAGAGCATTTACTTAAATATTTGTATCTATAGAAAGAATGTATAAACTTAAAAATGTCTCAAAATAATTGTCGGACTTGTTGTCCATTTCATAATGTGTGACGTCATTTGTTTACATTTGGATACGCTTTGAGCAGATATGAATGTTTGTGAGAGAACCATGGAAGATTGTAGTTTAAAAGCAGTAAAATAAACCTTGCTCATCGAACGATTCTCCGTGGCTCAACCGGTTAACGTCAGGCTATATGACGGTTCCATACAGGTTCGATTCCTGTCGGAGCACACATCTTTTCTATGAAAATTTCTCGGATATTCAGGCCGGTAAATGTTGTTAATACTGTTTATTATAAAACAGAGAATTTACTTAATTATTTGTATCTATAAAAAGAATTTATAAACATAAAAATGTATATATATATATATATATATATGAAGAAATATAGCCTTAAGATGTGCTATATTTATGGGATAACGTGCTCACTATCTGAGATAGAACGTGTGTAAATATAAAAGTGAACATAGACGTCAAGGCTTAGAGGCGACAGTCTGTTTCATGCCAGATGCAATCGTCAGGCCACGTGTGATGGCCAGTCTCTAGATATCGGGTTACAGTTCGAGTTGGATTCGTAATATTCACTTACGCCCAAATTCCCTTGGGAAAGATATGGACAAACGTTTCTCCTCTTGTTAGGGGTTAATTCATAATGAAATTACAAGCGGTTGATAAACGGTAAAAAAGGAATCCTTTTCCATTAATCGCTCCTTATTTATCTTAAATGTTTCTCTGTATCTATCTATATATATATATATATATATATATATATATATATATATATATAAAACTGAAACTGTTAATATTTATCACCCTCTCTATCTAAAGCTGTTCATATCTATCTATCTATCTATCTCACTCTCTTCATATGTATGTATGTATGTATGTATGTATCTATCTATCTATCTTCATATGTATGTATCTATCTATATCAACTTTTTCATATCTATCTATCTATCTATCTATCTATCTGTCTCACTCTCTTCATATGTATGTATCTATCTATATCAACTTTTTCATATCTATCTATTTATCTATCTATCTATCTATCGATCTATCTATCTCAGTCTCTTCATATGTATGTATGTATCTATCTATCCAGCTATCTATCTATCATATTTTCATATGTATGTATCTATCTATATCAGCTTTTTCATATCTATCTATCTATCTATCTATCTATCTATCTATCTATCTATCTATCTATCTCAGTCTCTTCATATGTATGTATGTATGTATGTATGTATCTATCTATCTATCTATCTATCTATCTATCTATCTATCTATCTGTGATGTCCTATTTTACCGAGGCCAAATTAATGTTTGCAATATGCAGTTTCTTGTTTACGACCTGATGTCATTTCATGCTGTACTTGACAATTGCCAACTTTTCAGGTTGACTTGTTGTCGTTTCTGGTTGACGCTTTTATTTGATTCCATCTGAGGAGAATAAACAAGAGTAGATAAAAACGGGAAGAATTTGAAAAGGTGAACGAAAGAATAAGTTGGAAGCAGAAAGAAGAAGAAAAATGAGAAGAAAAAGAAGAGATGATGATGATGATGATGATGATAAGGAAAAAGAAGAAAATTGGCGATAAAGAAAGAAAAAAAACGAGATCAAAGTATATAAAAGAGGAAACAGAAGAATGTTGAATGAAATAGAGAAAGAAAGAAAGAAAGAATACAGAGAAAGAATAAGGAGCAAAAAATAGGAAGAATGAAAACAAGAAGATTAAAGAAGAATGGGGTATATAAAAGAATAACGTAGAAAGAAGGATAAAGAAGAAGGAAGAAGAAGAAAATAGAACGAATAATGAAGTAGAAGGAAGAAGTATAAACAAGATTAAACTAAAAGAAATAATTAGAAAGAAGGAAATAGATGCAAGAATAGAAAGAATAAAGAAGATTAAAGACGTTTAACGAAGAATGAATTAGCAGGAAGAAATATAAAGATGAATGAAGTAAAAGTAAGAAGTAGAAAGAAGAAGGAATAAGAAGAAATATGTATAAAGAAGAATGAGAAGTACAATGAATTAGAATGACGAAATGAAAGAAGTCGGAATTAGAAAGTAGAATGAATTAGAAGGAAGAAGTATTAAGAAGTATGAAGTAGAATGAAAAAGTATAAAGAAGAATGAATTAGTAGGACGAATTAGGAAGAAAATGAATTCCAATGAAGAAATAAATGAAGAAAGAATTATAAGTAGGAAGAAGAAAAAAGAATGGATTAGAAGGAAAAAGTAGAAGAATGAAAGAAAGAAGAGCGGAGAAAAAATAAGAAGAAAGAAATAAAAGAATAAATTAGGAAGAATGAGTTGAAAGAAGAAGAAAATGGAGTGTAGACGAAATGGAAAATGGAGAGAATTCTAAGGGAAATTTCACGTCTCTTGGCCATGCAATGTAACAGAAACCGAATACAAATGATTACATCCTCTTTAACGCCAGAGGACATCAGCTCGAAGTATGCTAGAAACTACAGGGAAAGAAAAAGTTCATTTCACATAAGTACACGTAAACGCTTTTGAACGTTATCAAGTATAGAAAGGACAAATTGAACAGCCCCAGTCTATGCGTAATCGGACTCTTATAAAGATTATGGATGAAAGAAGGTGCCAGGTTCTTTCTGAAGCGGAAAAATGAATTGAGCATTTTCCCACCATGTTTAGAATTGGATGGCTTGTGTGAAGAGGCCAGACATCGCATGAAATACTCCATTTTTGGTCTAACGTGACTATTCTAAATATTAATTAAGGCAGTGTCAGTCATTTTCTGGAGCGGAACGATCGTCCTAGTATCTTTGGAGTAGTATCGCCCGTGAAAAATAGCCCAGATATGACAGCAATGCTCCCTTTCTGTTCTAATCTGACTCTTGTATACATAAAGCATGACAGAAGGTGTCAAGTACTTTCAGGAGGAGAAGAATGACCCGACTATTTTCACACAATCCTTTTAATAGTATCGCCCGTGAGAAAGAGCCCAGATATGGCAGCAATGCTCCCTTTCTGTTCTAATCTGACTCTTGTATACGTAATGCATGGCAGAAGGTGTCAAGTACTGTCTGGAGGAGAAGAATGACTCGACTATTTTCCCACCATCCTTTGAATAGTATCGCCCGTGAGAAAGAGCCCAGATATGGCAGCAATGCTCTTTTTCTGTTCTCAACTGACTCTTGTATACATTATGCATGGCAGAAGGTGTCAA